AGCTCTTATGCAATGCCAGAGTCAAAATAAAAACATTTTACATTAACTTAAACAAAGAAGCAGATCTTAAACTATTCACTATACATGACATGGTCCTGTGTATTATACAGACTATAAGAAATGATCTGTACACTGTAGTAGAATAATAGTACATTAGTAAAGTATTTTATTTGTGATAATATTTATCCTACATCAACTGAAATGAGAGTAACCTGCTTCAGATAAAGTAGAATTACTTCATAAGATGCTGTTTCGTGTGTCTCCTTCTGTGCTCTAGCATCACTATAAAGTCTGTTCAATGTTCAGAAGAAGTGTAAATGTTGTGTGTTGTACCTGTGTGAGCATGCCCTCTGCTAGCGCCTCCCCTGGGCTGGTGGGGGTCACTGCAGGCAGAGCTCCAGCCCCCATGTTCAGCTCCAGTTTGTCCTTCACACTGGCCCCAGAGCCCACAGGACTCTCTGCCGCCGCTGAGGGACACAGCTCCAGGTTAGTTTAGTTTGAAACAAGGAACTATGTCAATACCATATTCTGAATATTACAACAAAAATAAAAAAGCCGCATTACTTTATATGCACTACTAATAAAAATATTTTCACTCTTTTTGGACTCTCATTCACTCTAAATTAGATTTTCATGAAACTGAAAAACTGTAGCTGTATGTGTTAACGACCATCAGCATCACACACTCAAACACAAAAACATTTAAACCACAGACTGTATAAACATGTGGACTGAGTGAGTGAGACGTCCACACAGTCAAATGAAGCTCATGAGGGCAGCAGTTAAATTGCAACAGCGAATTTGGAGCAGAGTTCCATATTAGGACTGAATTTATTTACGGACAAAATAGCAAGATAAAAACACAAGGATCATGTAGAGCAGGTTAATGTAAGGTGACTGGATTTTTTAAATTCTAAACTGGCACACACCTGGGTTTGGATGGTTGGTATAAATAAAACTGTGGGAAGAGTGTGTAAGATTGTGGATCCTCGTGTCAGTCATGATCTGAGGGACTTCTGACGCTTCATTTTTTTGCTTTATGGTCATTCACAAATAATTTATGCTCCTGTTTATTGTTGGCGGGGATCAGATTAGTCAAAAATTGCAATAATCCTGTTTTAGTCCTGGTTTAGACCTGCTGTAGTCCTGGTTTAGTTCTGTTTAGTCCTGGTTTAGACTTAGTTCTGTTCTGTTTTAGTCCTGGTTTAGACCTGATGTTGTCCTGGTTTAATCTTAGTTTAGACCTGGTTGAGATCAATTCGGTCCAAACAGGTACATCTGGGACATTGGTTTTGTATAAATCTGTGGGGACGGGGACACAGGACTCAAAACTGGGACTGTCCCAGGTAAATAGGGACATCTAGTCACCATAGGTTTATACAAACATTTTTAGACCAAAATGAGACTCCTGACTGCAGCAGTTACAGAGAGAGCGGCAGAAAGTCAATAGAAGGTGATTTGGAGCCAGAGTTTAAAAAGCCAGACGCAGCCCCGTGCTCACTTCCTGTATGGAACACAGCGGTTAGCTGCACACACACACTGTACCTTTTCCAGGACTAGGAGTCTGCCGGCTCTCCTTGGCCCAGCCCGGTGCTCTCTCTTCAGGCTGCAGTTCCTCCGCCTCCTCCTCGTCTTCCTCGGAGGGGCTGGAGGTCACTTTACCCGCAGGAGAAGCACCTCGGCTGGGTCTCTCCACCATCACCCACTCCCTGGAGTCCACGTCCCCCTGCACGGAGCTCAGGTTCAGGGCCACGAAGCCCCCGCTGCTGGGCCCCCCCTCGCCCTGCTCCATGGAGGCCGGAGAAGCGGCTTTAGGGGAAAACTCGTCCTCGCACAACCATACGCGATCCACCGACACGGGCCTCTGCGGGAGATTATCTGCTCTGCTGCAGAACACACACAAAGTAAACATATATTATATTACACATTACTACAACTATTACTTCTACTAGTGATGCTACTACTACAACTACTGCTACTACTACTGCTACTGCCACTACTACTACTGCTAATACTACAACAACTACTACTATTACTACTGCTACTGCCACTACTACAATTACTACTACTACTATTAATACTGTCACTACTTCTATTACTACTACCACTACTATAACTGCTAATACTACAACTACTACTATTACTACTGCTTTTACTTCTACTACTGCTACTACAACTACTGCTACAACTACTACTATTACTATTACTACTACTACTGCTGCTAATACTACAACTACAACTACTACTATTACTACTACTACAACTACAACTAGTACTATTACTACTGTTACCGCTAGTGCTACTACTACTACTACAGCTGCTACTACTACTACTGCTACTACTACTACTACTACTACAACTACTACTACTACAACTACAACTACTAGTACTACTACTACTACAACTACTACTACAACTACAACTACTAGTACTACAACTACAACTACTCTTACTACTACTACTACTACTACTCCTGCTGCGCCTACACCAACATTACTTCTAATTCTTTAACTTATATCACCAAATTTGAATGAATCAACTTTATTTATCTCATGTAAAAATACTACTGATCTATATATATATATATATATATATATTTTTTTTTTTTTTAATTGACTCATTTAATTGTAGTACCTGAAGTGAATAGACATAAGAGTTCTCATAAGGATGAGTAAATATCCAAAGCTTTTATATAAACAGTTGAATCTTGTCTCAGTCCGTGTGTCTCTTACCCTCCGTCGGTGAATCTGTCCGGACTGGCCAGGCTCCTCCTCTTCTCCTGCTCCAGACTGTGTATATTTCGTAGTTTTCGGAGCAGAGGGGCGTCTCTGTCGTGGGGCACCTCTGGGTGAAGTTTGACTGGAGATGAAGCTCCTTGAGTGGGGTACAGGCTCTGGGCAGCGGGGGGCAGCTGGTTGTTACTGTGTTCATCCTCTGTCCCGGTCTGAAGTCACAACACAGAACGAAATTATAATGGAAACTGATTTTTAATAACATTGAATAACTTGGTATCTTTGTGCCTTTTTGTATTGTTTATGCTCAACAAATAAATACTGAAAGACATTTTTCAAAATAAAATGAGATCAAAAACTGTGACCTGCACCTTCAGATGCAGTCCTAGCGCCCTCTACTGATCTTTTCTATAAAAATAATTCCAAGATGACTGAGGCCTCCAGGTATTTTTAAGACACAAATATTGGTCACATTACAGGAAATACTAATACTTACAGATCCAGTTTGTTTCAGTACTTCACTTATTTTATCTCGCTTAATGTCAGTCCTGATTTTGTCCTTTTTTAGTCCTGGTTTAGTCTGGATTCAGTCCTGGCCTAGTCCTGGTTTAGTTTGGGGTTTAGTCCTGGTTTAGTCCTGGATTAGTCCTGGTTTAGTCCTGGTTCAGTCCTGGTTTAGTCCTGGTTTAGTCCTGGTCTAGTCTTTGTTTAGTCCTGGTTTAGTCCTGGTTCAGTCCTGGTCTAGTCCTGGTCTAGTCCTAGTCTAGTCCTGGTCTAGTCCTGGTCTAGTCCTGGTTTAGTCCTGGTTTAGTCCTGGTCTAGTCTTTGTTTAGTCCTAGTTTAGTCCTGGTTCAGTCCTGGTCTAGTCCTGGTCTAGACCTGGTGTAGTCCTGGTTTAGTTTGGGGTTTAGTCCTGGTTCAGTCCTGGTCTAGTCCTGGTTTAGTCCTGGTTTAGTTTGGGGTTTAGTCCTGGTCTAGTCCTGGTCTAGTCCAGGTTTAGTCCTGGTCTAGTCCTAGTCTAGTCCTGGTCTAGTCCTGGTATAGTCCTGGTCTAGTCCTGGTTTAGTTTGGGGTTTAGTCCTGGTCTAGTCCTAGTCTAGTCCAGGTTTAGTCCTGGTTTAGTCCTGGTCTAGTCCTTTAATTAGTCCTGGTCTAGTCCTGGTCTAGTCCTGGTTTAGTCCTGGTTTAGTCCTGGTTTAGTCCTGGTTTAGTCCTGGTCTAGTCCTGGTTTAGTCCTGGTCTAGTCCTGGATTAGTCCTGGTCTAGTCCTGGATTAGTCCTGGTCTAGTCCTGGTCTAGTCCTGGTCTAGTCCTGGTCCTGGTCTAGTCCTGGTCCTGGTCTAGTCCTGGTCTAGTCCTGGTCTAGTCCTGGTCTAGTCCTGGTCTAGTCCTGGTCTAGTCCTGGATTAGTCCTGGTCTAGTCCTGGATTAGTCCTGGTCTAGTCCTGGTCTAGTCCTGGCCTAGTCCTGGTTTAGTCCTGGTCTAGTCCTGGTCTAGTCCTGGCCTAGTCCTGGTCTAGTCCTGGATTAGTCCTGGTCTAGTCCTGGTCTAGTCCTGGTCTAGTCCTGGTCTAGTCCTGGTCTAGTCCTGGTCCTGGATCCTGGTCCTGTCCTGGTCTAGTCCTGGCCTAGTCCTGGTTAGTCCTGGTCTAGTCCTGGTCTAGTCTAGTCCTGGTCTAGTCCTGGATTAGTCCTGGTCTAGTCCTGGTCTAGTCCTGGTCTAGTCCTGGTCTAGTCCTGGTCTAGTCCTGGTCTAGTCCTGGTTTAGTTTGAGGTTTAGTGTTGTAAGTTGCTGTGTGTGCTGGTGACTTGCTCTTGTACCTTGGTCCGGACTCTGTTGCGGTTGCGGTCCAGCTCCTCCCACACGTCGGCCTCCAGGGGGCGCTGCTGCACAGGGGAGCGCTCTGGAGGATTGTCCCCGTCACTGAGCTGCTCGTCCTGGACCACCTCCTCTGTGTTCTCCCTGAGCAGGTCTCCAGGAAGAAGAGACGCATTCGCCATTCTGAAATGAAACAGCAAAAACAGAAGGGGAGTGAGAGACCAGAGCACAGCAGGTGTAGATCGGGGTTAAAACTACAGCTACAGTGGCCTCAAAGGGTCAAAACTGAAACACTCCTATGGCTTTGATAAGCAACATAAAATGGGATTTCTTTCATTCAAGTGCAGAGGTGAGGTTAAACTTCTCATTTCACTAAAACATAGTAACCATATTGTAAACACGTGACAAAGCTCAATTTACACAATAGTTTTGACAAAAATAATAATGACATTTTTAAGACTTTTACAAATAGTTATTCATGTAATCCCTCTGTTGTCGAGTTAGGTTCCATAGCAAAGCAGAAATTCTATTCTGTCAACTGGACAAAGTTTTTTTTTTTTTTATCAAATATGTTTCACAGCTCATCCAAGCTGCTTCTTTGGTTCACTGCAGACTCGTGAAGTGAAGGAGCAGCTTGGATGAGCTGTGAGCTGCTCCTTTTACAAATCATTCTGTTTCATATTTTAAAATATAGTAGTATTTTGAATAAAAAAACAAAACAATCCTCCAGATGAAAATTATATGTCACTAGTTACTTCTGTTTAAGAGATTGTAGGTGACTTATTTAAAATGGATCCTCTTAAAATCTAAATAATTTGCTTTGCATTAACATAAAAATGCAACAGCAAAAATAAGCAAACTACATGTATTTAGTAGGGATGAGAAGATTGTCAAAAAAAGATCTAACTGTTCGATTGTGGTGTATTTATTTGATTCCATATTGAGTTTAATTCTCACGTGTCCCCCCAGGTGCTCTGTGTGTCATTTTAGCACAGACAGGAAAAGGACAAGCCTGGGGTCCTTTCTTTAGTTACAGAAACCAAACAGTTCTATAGGGGCTCACTGCTGCTTTATTATACTCCTGAGGTGAGTTTTATCTTTCAGTTACTTTTTATTTTGATAGACTCTGAATTGAGATAAATATGAACTTTAAAATACTCTTACAGGCTTTACAGCTTGACTGTGAGTCCAAAATTGATGCTCGAATCAAATCATGACTTAAGCGAATCGTCCCATCCCCATTATTCAGTGTCAGCATTTCATTTTGACTGTTTTATTTTACTAGAGTGTATAAACTAGTAAAGGTTGATAGTGTGTCTCTGACCCCATGTGCGCGGGGGTGAGTCTGGTGTGGTGCTGGGGCGTGGTGGCCGCCGTGCTGATGGTCAGAGAACCGTCTGTGCCCGTCCGCTCCCAGTCGTACGGATCATTCTCCACCACGTTATAGGTCTTCATACTGTTATCGAACACTGACATCAGCAACTGAAAGAGAGAAACACACAGGTGATCAGGCAGGGAGGGGCACGCAGGAGGAGGCAGGAGCAGGGAGGGGCAGACAGGAGCAGGACCTGATAGTCTGGTTTGGTGAAATAGTCGAGGTTGGAGATGTGCTCGAGGAAAACTCCAAACTCGGCGGGTAAATGTTTGAGCATCAGACGGTGGTCGTAGGTCTCCTTCAGTTTCCCCACATGCTCCTGAGGAAACACAACAACAGAACATCACTCACTGCTTCATTAATACAACATGATCATTTTGTTTTGGTCACATTCATCAGATTTCTTTCTCATTGTTCAACCCTGTGCAGGTTTAACAAGGAAATTTATGCAGAAACAGCAAACTAATGTGTCAAAGACAAACATGAAACAGACATATAAAACTGTGTCTGGACTTATGCAGATTTAAACTAAATTAAACAAATAAATTGTGCTAAGTTAATTTCCCCACTTTAAGAACCAGTGGTCGATATAAATTAAACAGCTGCTTCATTGACTGTAGATTTCGAGCGTCTCTCACTTTGTCCTTGATCTTCCTCCAGGGCAGCTGTCCCACCAGGAACTCCACCAGCATGTAGAACAGGGACCACAGGTCGTCATGACGCCCCATCTCCTACAGGGGGCAGTAAATAAGACATTATATTCACATGGATGTACAGTGCGTCTGAAGAGCAGTGTCAGAACAAGTCTATAGGGGGCGCTCACCTTGTTCTTGTGAGCGTTGACTGAAGCGTATCTCACAGTTCCTCTGAAACCTGCCACTGGACGAGGCTGAGACAAACAACACAAATACATCAAATCTAATTTATAGAAACCTGTTACTTTAATTATTATTACTCATTCTCATTCAATAAATTACAAAAAGAACAAAATTGTAACATTTCATTATTTTTTTGTACTGCAGTAACATCTGAGACCTGAACAAGTATTTTTATTAGAGACAAGTGAGACCAAAGCAAAGAGCAAAGCCTCCTCCATCAGGGACTGATGTGTTTGTGTAAATATCAGGGGCTCACCGGTCGCACTTCCTGACAGGAGTTGGTGAACTGTCGAGCCAAACCAAAGTCCAGCATGTAACAGGTGCGACAGGTGCTAGGGAACCTGCCCATGGCAAAATTTGACTAAACAAAGAGAAAAGGAAGAACAAAAGGTTCATTTGTGAGTAATGGGAATACACACAAGCTCAAGGGTGAAGTACAGAGACAGTGAAGGACATTTGTGTACAACCATGATGCCTGGTGGCATCAGATACTGTAAGATAAATACCACAGTGTGAAACATTCCACAATAACATGTCCATGGAGACAAGCAGGTGGTGGACCCTCCACCAGAAAAGTTACATATGACATCTTTAAGTAGAACCTGATGTTAGATTTACATTTGTATTCCTGTGTAAATGTGCTTTTATTTCAGTTTTCATGTGTAGGTTTGTTCTCACCGGTTTGATGTCTCGATGCAGGAAGCCCACAGAGTGAATGCTCTCGATGGCCTGGAGGATCTGTCGGCCCAGCCTCAGGGTGGTGCTGATGGAGAAGGTTCCTCTGGACATGCTCCTCCTCAGGTCGGCCAGGTTACGGCCCTGAACACAAACACAGACGTACACACGTTCTAACAGTTCAGCTGTACCTGAGAGACGGTTTTTAAGTTTTGTTCGGAGTTGAGAATTTTCTGAGCTGTAGGTAGTAGCCTGGTTAAAACCTCGTTATCTGCTTGTCTTTTAATGACCAGTGTTTGATTTTCTAACTTTGTGTTGGTTGAATCAACAGTTCTAACTCATATTATAAATGTCATGAAGCGGTAGTTTTCAAGAGCTAATTCGGTAATTCCAGAGCTGATTCTAGTGAAGGTGTGTGGAGTTTTTCGGATTATTTTCAGTTTGAGAGAAGAACTGCAGTGTGTGTGCACGCGCGCGCGTGTGTGTGTGTGTGCGGGTGTGTTAAACATGTAAATGAAACACACGCCTCATGAAACAGTGTCATATGGGCCTTTTAAAGCTGTGATGTCTTCACAGGGACATAGATACAGTATATATATATATATATATATATATATATATATATATATATATATATATATATATATATATATATATATATATATATATATATATATATATATATATATATATATATAGGTCCGGGCACGTTAATGCGTTAACTTTGCGTTAACTAATTAAGTCATTAACACCGACAATTATTTTAATGCCGTTAATGCAGTTTGTATTATTTATTTATTTATTTTTTTGTAAACGTCTGTTTCTCACTGGCTTTTATTTTGAAAAAGTCCACCGCGAGTGTTTAAGTTTGACATCTTTTCTTTACACTTGTTTCACTTTTTTCTGACCACGTGAGATGCAACGTGTCCGAGCCTCCGCGAGCCGCGGGCACCGGCTCTGAGCTGAGCTTATTTCTTTAGTTCAGTGCTGGAGTAACTGATTTACCCAGATACCATTGGAAGAAAAAATGTGATTGGTCCATTTCCATTCCATTATATTAACCCTTTGTTTCCAAAGAAATATCAGTCCAAGTTTATAACACTGATCTAGAAATTATTACTAGTGTGTTCATTACTCACAGCATAAAAAATATTCAATAAATATATTAGTAGTACAAACGTCCATTCAATATTTTTACTTGAACCTTCCCTGAACACCTTGAAGGCTCTGAGGTTCCCCTGTGAAAGAAATGCTGTTTGCACAACAAATGTTTGGCTCTTTCATTTACATTTCCAATAAAAGAATATACTCTACTTTTTAATTCATTAATTGGTTTTGCCTATAACATACGATTAATCGTGATAAATTATTATTTTTTTGCCCAGCCCTAATATGTACATATATATATATATATATATATATATATATATATATATATATATATATATATATATATATATATATATATATATATATATATATGCACACTGTATATGACAAAAGTATTTGTCTCCACTGCCAAAGCTGTGCCCTCTAAAACAGCTGACACCAGAGAACACTGTGATTTCCCACTGGATTTGAACTCACCTGGAGCTCCATCACCACATAGTTAAAGCGGTCGTTTCTCCCACAGCCCACGAAGCGGCAGATGTGGTCCTTGCCTGAAAAAAACAAAACAAAACAGTAGATTAAAGAGCCATTTTAACATATAAGCACTAAAATGCCAAAATAAGACCAGGGATAGAGATACACGTCTATTTTAGACCCATTTACACAGTAGAAGAAAGTGATGTTGGTGTTTAGTGCCCTTTAAATACAATACTCAAAGTCAATACCAATTGTCATTCACACTGATAAAAAACAAAAAACACTCTTTCTTTAGACAATAAAATGTGATTTTTAACATTAAATGGTAATACTTTCTTTTACTTTTACTGCTCCATAGGGGCAGACCTGAAATACAGTCCCCTGTTATTGTCCTGTTATTCCTCTGCACTGTCCTGTGTGTGCGTATGTGTGAGAGCATGTCTCTGTGTGTCTGTGTGTGTGTGTGTCTCTGTGTGTGTGTGTGTCTGTGTGTGTCTGTCTCTGTGTGTCTGTGTGTGTGTGTGTGTCTGTGTGTCTGTGTGTGTGTGTGTGTGTGTGTGTGTACATTAAGGGCAGAGGAGAATATGCTGACCCTGGGGACGGCCACTCCCTTCAGCTAAAGTCACTCAGCAGCCCTGTGTCTGTCGCCTGAGCAGCCAGACACTTCCACATCCTGTTTGAATCCAGAAGCAACTGAACCCAAACCACAGAGCACGAAAAACCTCTGTCCAAACTTTAGACCATCCAATCACGGCCGCTCATTTGTATCACGTGTCTCTCAAATACAGAAAACATGTCCTCTCCAAAACTCTCGTAACATTCAGAACAAAATATAAAACTTCTTTTAATCTGAGATAAGTCTGTCTAAGTTTGCTGCTTCGATTGTTGGTTCTGTTTCTCAATTGTTTATGTACATTTTTCTCCTTTTTTATGTATTTTTGCGTATCTCTGATTGGTTTATCCTCTTCTCTGTCACGTCCTCTGAAATCTGGAGGACAAAACACAGCTCCAGATCCACTCGTCTTTGTAAAGTAATGCTGAAAGGTAACTATATGTGGACACAGCAGAGTCACGTCTGTGGAGAGGCGACGCCGCTCACAGAAACAATGTCTGTAATAAATAAATGCACTGTACTAGTCCGAGACCACAGGGTCCCTAGACCAGGACAAGACATGTTTTCTTAAATAAATCTATCTCTACTTGAAATGAGCAATGTTCATTTAAGCTTAAAATAAGCCAAGCAAACTGAACTGCACTCAAACACACATCCCACTTCCTCTGACACTTTACACAAAACATCTTCAAAGTGAATCAAGTGAGTTTTTTCAAGTTCATAACATTTTTAGTTACATTCTCTTATTGGTTTTGCAGTGATATTTAGCAGCCTCTGCACATTTACCGGCCATAATGAAATATGATCACACTCATCGAGTGACAGACCTCAAGTCTAAGACAAGACCGAGACCAAGCACCTTCGAGACCAACACAAGACCGAGACCAAGCACCTTCGAGACCAACACAAGACCAAGACCAAGCACCTTCGAGACCAACACAAGACCGAGACCAAGCACCTTCGAGACCAACACAAGACCAAGACCAAGCACCTTCGAGACCAACACAAGACCGAGACCAAGCACCTTCGAGACCAACACAAGACCAAGACCAAGCACCTTCGAGACCAACACAAGACCGAGACCAAGCACCTTCGAGACCAACACAAGACCGAGACTGTAAAAAGCGGTCTCCAGGCTGGTCTTGAGAGCAAGACCGGTCTTGAGTACAATGACACTAGTGTTAAAGGATCAACATCTCTTGAAAAGTTACACAGTGCACCTTTAAATTGTCCGATAGCACAGGTCCTCAACCAGAAGCTTTTCACTCCAGATAAAAATTCAGACAAACCAAAAAAAGAAAGACTAAACCAGATCAAGTTCAGGTGGATCTAAACCAGGTCTAAATTAGGACTGAACCAGGCCTAAACCAGATGTAAATCACAGGATCTGCTCCTCAGCTCTGGAGCTCGACCTCCGCGATCTCAAGTCACTTTCACACTGAAATCGAGACTCAAAACACGCTTATTTAAATGAGCCTTCTGACATTAATGTTTCAGCACCTGTCCTGTCCTGTCTGATTGTTTTTTAATAATGTGTCTTCATTACTGTTTATACGGTGTCCTTGAGTGTCCAGAAAGGTGCATTTAAATAAAATGATCATGAATGGACACTAACCTGCTACCTGCTGCAATCCAAATAGGAAGTGAACAGCTTCCGGCTCCACTAACTCTGGCTCCGCTTCACTTTGTATTGAAAAAACACTGGTCTTAAAATGTTCGTATTGATCAGTTCCTGTTCAGTATGGAACTCAGCTTCAAAATTCACTCCTATAACAGCCTCAATGAGCCTCATCTGACTGGAGCTGAACACTGTGGTGATGCTGCAGTCACTTCTAGTCCACTTCTTTCTACAGGCTGTGGTTCAAACTAAGTCTACATCAGGACAGAATAGGGTGAGCAGATATCCATATTTCCCCAGGACAGTCCCAGTTTTGAGTCTGTATCCCCTGTCCCTGCAGATTTATACAAACCCACTGATTTGTCCCAGTTTTATACAAGAAATGTCTCAGGTGTCCTTATTTTTGACCAGTCTGATCCCTGCCAACAGTAAGAGGCAAACATTGTCATTTGTTGACGTAAAATACAGAAAAGCTGCTTAAAAATGACCAAAACACATTTGACTGTACTGACTCATGTTAGTGGTGAATAAGTCATGAATGGGCCGAGTGCAACAGTTTTCCTTCATTACACACTTGTTTCACAATTTTACTATTACCAACCACCACAAACCAGAGACGTCCCAGTTTTTGATTTTGAAAATCTGGTCACTCTAGGACAGAACCAGGTCTAGATCAGAACTAAACCAGGTCTAAACCAGTTCCATATGTGAAAGAGTGTGTCAAGTTGTGTGTTTCAGTTCTGTTGTCTGTACATCACATTCACATTCACTTTCTACCCATAAAACCAGATGAGCTCCAGAACCAGCCTGTTCTTAGCCCTTATTAAACGCCACAGTCTGTGCGTCGACCTGAAGGGGGCAGAGTTCAGACTCTCCGGTTTCCAGAATCCCAGAGGAGCTGCAGACTCCAGGCTCCATCACAAACTAGAACATGATCCCTGATTGATTTTCCTCTGAGTCACTGTAGCAAACTGCAGAAGCTGAAGAGCAGGAGGAGGAGGAAGAGGATTAGGAGGGGCCACAAGTGTACTCCAGTGATGTATTTCAAAGTAAATACTATTACTTACTTATGAAGAAGTAAAATATAAGGTCGAAATTGTGTTTCAATAGTAAAGAAAAAGTCAGTAATCCAAATTATTATTTTTTTAAATGTCTCAGAGACAAACGCTTTACTGTGACATTTCCCACATGCATTCACTCAAACATTCTTCTAAGTAAATTATTTTAGTACATTAGGTTTAGTCCTTCATTAGACCTGTTTTAGTCTTGGTTTAGACCTGTTTTTTCTCAGATCTTGTGGAGCGAGACCCACACATTCAATATAAATCAGATCTAATTCCACTCTAAAATCAATCAAACATATTTGAATACAGAAAAGAACAAAGTATAAAGCAGGTCTAACCAAAAACTAAGCACTACTGCACTGCACTAAATAATATCTAACCCAGAACTAAACCGGCACTAAACCTGATCATTTATATGTAGAGTTTTGCATAAGTTTAGGAGGTGTGAGTTAATCTGATCTCAGAGGGTCACATCAGTCCAAGGGGAAATCAATATGTGGCAAAAAGCCTTTCATTTGTCCTCCTTCGGAGAAGAAGAAAAAGACAGAGACAGAGACAGAGACAGAGACAGAGTGTGACCTGGTTTAAGATACAACAGGGGTTAATAAGTCCCCACTGCACAAGAGCTGATCACTGTCCATGATCCTTGAGCACAGAGACAGCTCCTCGTGTGTTTGACTGATGTCGTCTTCAGATGTTAATGTGAAGAGCAGAGATGAGGAGGACATTTCAGGAGCAGCTCAATAGGTCAAAGAGGGCAAACGATCAATGTGCCAAATGTAACCAAACCCTCGCTCACCATTTAAAAATACAGGGACTAAAACCAGACTAAACCTGCTTTGTCTGCTTTAGAAAGTAAAAAACAGAACTAGGTCTAACCCAGAACTAAACCAGGACTAAACCTGATCCAAACCCAGTCTAAACCCTCTCAGGCCGTAGACTCACCCTGTAGTTTCTTGAGCACAGCAACCTCCATCTTGAGGACCTGTTTGGGCTGCTGGGCTGACTCCACCTTCAGAGCCACACTGACCCGGGTCAGAAGGTCCAGAGCCTCGTAGATCTCCCCAAAGCCTCCTCCTCCGATCTTCTTTGTCTGAGCAACAGAGAGAGAAATAAACAAGATAGAAGCCATATTATTATGACCACCATCTTTGTTTGGTTTAAAATCATAAACAAATTCTCCTCAATCAACCAAACTGGTCAAGATATTAGCGGTGGGACCAGGCACAATATCCACAGAACAAGATGAGAAACGAGACTGGCTCTATAAGAACGACAGAAAACGAGATTTCCAGTTCCCGATTTCAGCCTCAGCATTTCTGATCGACTTTACTTCATACACTTCATACAACTTCTCAAAAAATTTAACTAGTCAGTACTTAACTCCATTTTTTATCCAATCCAAAAGTAAAAATATAGGGAAAAAAGTCTCACAAGATCATTTTCTTCATGTGTGTACAATATTAAGTTTTTGAGAACTTTCTGACTAACCAATGAACAGGCCTTTTCTTTAGATCACCAGTTTCTTTCTAATCACCTACAGGCCACTCACAGTAAGACTGTATCTGCTATTCAAGGTGTTTTTGAGCAATAATAATTGAATAAATGCAAGATAAGTAAATTTAATGCCATACTGTAGAACATTACAGGCAATGCAAAAAAATCAGCAGGAGCAGACCCTTCACCAGATGAGTTACAGAGCATCTTTAATCTAAAGAGAGACAACTGCATGGATAATACAGGGTGTCCCTATTTTTTTTTTATCATTTCACAGGCCAATCATTTTGTCAATTCTTGTTGAAATAATCAAAAATTTTCATAGAATGTAAAGAAACAGATCAAGATTTTATATTTAATGTTTTATATTTGTTCTGTTTTCAGGTTGAGCTGTTGAGCTGTTGAGCTCTCAAACAGAAGTCATTGGATGAATTTAACTCATTGTTTATAGAACAAATCATTCTGCACTGACGCACTGTAACACTTTATTTTGTAATTGTGTTTTATACATGTTTATTGTTCATAATGTATAAATGAAATGTGAAATGTGGGACCTGCCTCTCAAATCTGCAAAGCCATTTTACCTACGGGTACAAATAAAGCGACCTAAACTAACCTATTTTGTGTCTAGAATCTTCTGCACGCACTCACCCAAGACTGTGCAGCTTCAGTGCAACATTTGGAAAAACTTCACCAACTGGCAAAACAAATTTGGACTTGAGACCAAAAATGTAAATTAAATTCTGTGAAAATTTGAGATTATTTCAACAAGAATTGCCAAATTTTTCGTCCTGTGAAATGATGTCAGTTGTGTTGGGACACCCTGTATATTACATCACCGTCTAAAGTATCAGACATCAGATCAATACTAATTAATACTTAAACTAGTATTGAAGTATCAAGTATTTTTTGCAGGCATTGATACAAAAAAAAAAAAAAAAGTCCCATTAACAGAACAGAGCAGAGTCTTTCCTGAATGTGTTTAGAACGATGTGGAGCTGGATCAGAACAAGTGTCAGAGCACATAGACTAGTACACACATGGACCAACATGAACCTACTGCACCACTGACCATTACACACACATAGAACACACATACAACACACATACAACACACATACAACACACATACAACACACACATACAACACACATAGAACACACATACAACACACATAGAACACACATACAACACACACATACAACACACATAACACATACAACACACATAGAACACACATACAACACACATAGAACACACATAGAACACACATAGAACACATATAGAACACATATAGAACACACATAGAACACATATAGAACACATATAGAACACACATAGAACACACATATAGAACACACATATAGAACACATATAGAACACACATAGAACACACATAGAACACATATAGAACACATATAGAACACACATAGAACACACATATAGAACACATATAGAACACACATAGAACACACATATAGAACACATATAGAACACATATAGAACACACATAGAACACATATAGAACACACATAGAACACATATAGAACACACATAGAACACATATAGAACACATAGAACACACATAGAACACATACATAGAACACATATAGAACACACATAGAACACACATAGAACACACATAGAACACATATAGAACACATATAGAACACATATAGAACACACATGGGAAGAGAAAGTAGAAGAAAGTTCTACTATTTAATGTGGAAAATCACATTCTGCTGTCTAAAGAAAGTGTATATATTTTTTATTATCATCGTGGAATCAGAATCTGTATCGAGTCTATTCCTTGTCGTTGTTGTGTGTAATTGTTTTCTGTGTGTAAATGTGTTTTCTGACCTCGACGTTCTGCTGCCGGAGCTTCCTCTGCTCTAATCTCCTCTGTGACACTTCCAGTGTAAAGTCCTGGATTAGACCAGGTTATGTAACAAACTCAGACTGGAGACTGAAGAGAAGACGAGAAGAGGAGGAGAAGGAGAAGTGATGAAGAGGAGGAGAAGGAGAAGTGATGAAGAGCAGGAGAGGAAGAGGAGAAGAAGAGGAGAGGTGGAGGAGTGTGGAAGACAAGAAGGAGAGAAGAGAAGGAGAGGATGGCAGGTATACAGGAGGAGAGAGGAAAGGAAAGAGGAACAGAGGAGTAGTAGAAGTAATGAAGAGCTGGAGAGGAGGAGGAGAAGAGGTGGAGGGCAGGAGAGGAGCAGAGAGGGAGAGGGAGGGGAGGAGAAGAGGAGGAAGAGAGGAGGAGGAGAAGAGGAGGAGGAGTGTGGAAGACAAGAAGAAGAGAAGAGAAGGAGAGGATGGCAGGTATACAGGAGGAGAGGAGAAGCAGAGGAACAGAGGAGGAGGAGTAGAAGTGATGAAGAGCAGGAGAGGAGGAGGAGAAGAGGTGGAGAGCATTAGGGGAGCAGAGAGGGAGAGGAGATGTGGAGAGCACGAGAGGAGGAAGAGAGGAGGAGGAGAAGAGGGGGAGAACAGGAGGGGATCTGATGAAGAGAGGAGAGGTGGAGAGCAGGAACAGAGGAAGAGAAGAGGAGGAGGAGAAGAGATGAAGAGCATGGGGGAGGGGGGGCAGAGAGGGAGACAAGAAGAGGTGGAAGGGAAAAGACAGGAGGAGGAGGAGGGGAAGATGAGGATAGTTGGAGGAGAGAAGAGAGAAAGAAACCGAGGAGGAGGAGGACTGGAGCAGAGGAAGAGGGGAGCCAGGGACAGACCAGAGCACTAAAATAACCCAGAGGAGAGTATTTTTGGAGCTCCCCGTGGCACAGAACATGGATGGAGAGACACCACTCTGTAGATCTGGGACACGGATCTGGGAAAATATCGACTTGTATTTGTATTTGTGAAATATTTATAACCTGACAGAAGTCTGAGTGAGAGATGGAGCATCTCAGGGATTATAAATGTGGAATCTCTCTCATAGAAAGTGATCAGAAAACAACAATGCACAGAAATCACATTTTCAGTTGAGAAAGAACCATTAGACTGTTTATATAAATGGACACAGCAAACCCGCAAGCCGCAGCGTTTCACAGAGGAAGTGTTTATGGCTCTAATTGACTTACACTGAGAAACTGTCCGTCTCTCTGTTTCTGCTGCACTCACACTCGTCATTTTGGTCTTTAAATGTTCGTTTAATCCCTACATGATGATGATGATGGTGTTTTTATTTCTGCATTTTGTCTGTAAATAAATTCCTAATACGGAAATCACCTACAAATTTGCCCCTACACTGTTAGCTTCAGTGAGCTTCATTTGACTGGAGCTGAACTCTGTGGTGACGTCACACTCACTCAGTCCACATCTTTACACAGTCTGTGGAAAGAGAACATCTTTCTGATTCACAAATGCACAAAGCCTCTGATCTTTATCCACAAACCAAACCTGGATTTGATTAGAGTCACAGTCTGTGTACTTTTGTTGTGGTTTTGATTGGTTTGGTTGGTTTTGGGAGGTTCATGTTTGAGGATCTCGGTTTGGTCAAATCCACCTGTAGATTTAGACTATGACACATTTCATCTCAACCCTCTGCTCGATGTCCTCCTCAGCAGCAGAGCCACGAGCACAGACTGTGTAAAGACGTGAACTGAGTGAGTGACGTCACCACAATGTTCGGCTCCAGTCAAATGAAGCTTATTGAGGCTGCGGTTACAGGGGTGAAGTTGGAGCTAGTTCCGTATAGGGAATAGGAATTTATTTATGGACAAAATAACAAAATAAAAACACCACCATCATAATACGAACGTTTTAAGACCAAAATGCGACTCCTGACTGCAGTAGTTACAGAGAAATTGGTGACAATTTCTCAGAGTATCTTAACTTCCTGTTTGGAACCACATGGATGGATAAGAACTGGAGGACAGACTAGTGGCTGCTCCAGATACTGCAGCTCCTGGGAGCTCCGGCCCAGAAACAATTCTCCCACAGCACACAATGCATTTTTTGTGAATTCAGACTGCCCGTGTTTGGCTGACAGGACATCCTTCTGTTTTTTTACAATATGAACGTTTTAGAATTTTTAAATCGTCAAAGCACCTAAAAGTGATCTTTGTCAGACTTAGCCTCGCTCGCTCTGCTCTAGCAGCTCTCGCTCTGATTGGTCCAAACTGCACATTTCTGATGTCACATGTTTTGCGGCGTAGGGCCAGTATTCAGGAAGTAACGTGGAAATAAAAATCTTTTTTGGCTTGAAGCTGCAATGAGCACAGGCCATTGAAAACAATAAAGCACCATGTTGGATTCACCTTCAGATCTGACTATAGTTCTGTGTTTGGAACAGCGGTTAGTGGGTCAGCTATACCCATACAGTCTAAGGCACGTGTCTCTACCCTTTTTTCTTGAGGTGAACTATTTTTACAAAAAGAAAAGGGCAGAGAGCTGCTTGTTTTAGCAGCCACAAGAAACTGAGTATATATAAGAGCCACAGTGAGCCTTAGATGAGGCACAGATAGATTAGAGTCACCAGATTTTCAAAATCAAAAACTGGAACATCTCTGGTTTGTGGTGGTTGGTAATAATGAAATTGTGAAAC